GGTCGGTCCTTGGAGAGGGACGTCATGCTTGGGAGGGTGGGAGGACAGCGCAGGAGAGGAAGGCCCTCTATGAGGTGGATTGATTCAGTGACTAGGATAATTGGGATGGGAGTGTCAGAGACAGTGCAATTGGCACAGGACAGAGTAGAATTTAGGGCTGTTGTACATAGGGTCACTATGAGTCGCAAGCGACTCGACAGCACATAACAACAACAAACAACAGATACATTGGTAAATGGGACTTCTAAAGATTAAGATCCTGTGTGAATCAAAAACTTGCCAATATGGTGAAAAGAAAACCTACTGACTGGAAAAAAACATTTGGCAATGACATCGCAGACAAGGGTCTCATAACTAAAACTTACAGAATACTATAAGACCTTCAGAAGAAAGACCGATAACACATTTACAAAATGAGTAAAAGATACAGAAAGACCTTTCACAGAGGAAGACATTCAGATGCCCAACAGACACATGAAGAAATGCTCAAAATCACTGGCAATAAGAGAGATGCAAATCAAAACCACAATGAGATACAATCCTACTCAACTGCAGTGGCAAAGTTTAACAGCACAGCAAGCAATAAATGTTAGAGAGGATGTGGAGAGATTGGAACTCTCATACACCATCGGTGGGATTGTAAAATGGTATAACCACTTTGGAAGGCAGTTTGGTGTTTCCTCAAAAAGCTGAACATAGACATTCCATATAACTTAGCTATACCACTGTTAGGAAAATATAACAGAGACACAAACGGAGACTTGTACACCAATGTTCACGTAGCATTATTCACAACAGTCAAAACATGGAAACAGCCCAAAGTCCACCAACAAATGACTAGGTTGAGAAATTATGTTAAATTCATACAGTGGAATACTATGTAGCACTCAGGAAGGAGCAACAATTTTGAAAAATGTCATATAACATGGGAGAGGCTAGAGAGCGAACTAACTCGGGCAAATAAGGACAAGTACTGTATAAGACCATTATTGTGAAAACATAAAGGTAACCAATAAGATGTGTATGGATATACAAAGAGGGGAGGGGAGGGGAGGGGACACAGGGGTCCTGAGAGCAGGGAACTGGGAAATCATGGGGTCACAGAGTTTGGCAGGTGGAGGGAGCTCAAAAAGAAACACATCAAAATACAACGTACATGAATGAAACCAATGTAAAATCATTGTACGCAAACCAACAAAAATGTTCTTTTAACCTACAACCAGGAGAGGATAAAATAGATGAATGGGACCTTCTAAGAATCAAATCTCTATGCACATCCAAAAACTCAAACAGGGTAAAAAGGGAAGCCACAGACTGGGGAAAAAATATTTAGTAATGACATGTCTTATAAGGGACTTATATCTAGAATTTATAGAATACTCAAGCACCACAACAAGATAAAGGTAAACCACCCACTTGCAAAATGGGCACAGGAAATGCACAGACCCTTCACCAAAGAAGACATTCAGATGGTGAAAAAACACATGAAGAAATGTTCAAAATCCCTAGCTCTAAGAGAAGTGCAAATCAAAACAACTAGGACATATCATCTCACCCCAGGAAGAATAGTAAAATTTAACAGAGCAGCAAGCAATAAATGTTGGCGAGGTTGTGGAGAGACTGGAACCGTTACTGACTGTTGGTGGGAGTGTAAAATGGCGCAACCACTATGGAAGGCAGTATGGCGCTTTCTCAAAAAGTTGCAAATAGAAATACCATTTAACCCAGCAATTTCACTACTGGGAATATACCCGAACAAAACCAGAACTGCCACCCAAGCAGATATATGTACACCTATGTTTACTGCTGCTTTTTTCACAATAGCAAAGAGTTAGAAACAACCCAAGCGTCCATCAACAAATGAATGGATAGAGGTTGCTGTTGTTATGTGCTGTGGAGTCTCTTGCAACTCATAGTGACCCTATGTACAACATCCCTAAACTCTGCTCTGTCCTGTGCCAATCATACCGTCTCCAATACAACCATCCTGATTATCCTAGTCACTGAATCAATCCATCTCAAAGGGGGCCTTCCCCTCCTGCGCTGTCCCTCCACCCTACCAAGCACGATGTCCTTCTCCAAGGACCTGTCCCTCCTTGCAACATGTCCAAAGTATGTTAGACAGAGCCTTAGAATCCTTGCCTCCAAGGAGCAGCCCGGTTTAACCCTCTCCAGGAT